GGGACGCCGGGTGACGCGGCGGCGGAGAACTACAACTCCCGGCAGGCCTCGGGGCGCCCAGCCTACAACTCCAGCTGTTGTCACTCTAAAAAGCCTCATGGGAGGTTTATTTTTATCTCCCTTTGTTTAAGAAAGAAGGGAACCCAGGGGCAGAGGAGCCAGCCTCTTCCCTGATAGAGGGGACAACTCTTTGTTGTTGTTGTTGCTGGCGAAATCTAGGATTAGCACAATTTTTTTTTTAAAGATTTTTATTGATTTCAGACAGGAAGGGAGAGGGAGAGCGAGCGATAGAAACATCAATGATGAGAGAATCATTGATCGGCTGCCTCCTGCGGATCCTACTGGGGACCAAGCCAGCAACCTGGGCATGTGCCCTTGACCCGAATCGAACCCGGAACCCTTCAGTCTACAGGCCAACAGCTCTATTCACTGAGCCAAACCAGCTAGGGCAGTGGTCGGCAAACTGCAGCTCAGCAAACCGCGGCTCGCGAGCCACATGCGGCTCTTTGGCCCCTTGAGTGTGGCTCTTCCACAAAATACCGACTTCTGCGCATGGGCCACGAAGTTTCAATTGCCTGCACATGGTATTTTGTGGAAGAGCCACACTCAAGGGGCCAAAGAGCCGCATGTGGCTCGCGAGCCGTGGTTTGCCGACCACAGAGCTAGGGTGAGGGAACAACTCTTCTGCTCCAGAAAGGAGTCAGGTCAGACTCCAGCCGAGAATTCCTCCAAATGTTCTGGCCGGAGAGCTCAGTTGGTTAATGTTGTCCCATCCCCAGTCAGGGCACATGCAAGAAGCAACCAATGAATGCATAAATAACTGGGAAAACAAATCGATGTTTCCCTCTCTTTCTCAAATCAACAATAATATTTTAATAAAAAAGAGCTGTGGTACCTGTACACCATGGAATACTATGCAGCAGTTAAAAAAAAGGATCTCTTACCCTTTGAGACAGCATGGCGGGACCTGGAGAGTATTGGGCTAAGCGAAATAAGCCAGTCAGAGAAAGAGTAGTATCACATGATCTCATTCATGTGTGGAATCTAATGAACAAAATAAACTGATGAACAAAATAGATCCAGAGACACAGAAGCAGGGAACAGAGTGTCGAATCTCAGAGGGAAGGCGGGGGTGGGTGGGAAGAGATGGACCAAAGAACTTGTAGGCATATATGCATAACCCATGGACACAGACAGTAGGGTGGTGAAGCCCAGGGCAGGGGGCAGGGGCAGGCTAAAAGGGGTCAATGGGGGGAAAGGGAACATATATAATAATTTCAACAATAAAGATTTTTAAAAAATAAAAGCTGTTTTCTTTCCACTCTAAAATACTTTTTTTTTTAAGTTCTCAAAATGGCTCAGTGGGTGTGCCCAGTGGTTGAGCAGCGACCCATGAACCAGGAGATCACAGTTCCATTCCTGGTCAGGGCACATGCCCAGGTGCGGGCTCGATCCCCAGTAGGGGGTATGCAGAAGCAGCCGGTGGATGATTCTCTCTCATCATTGATGTTTCTCTCTCTCTTTTCTTCTCCTTCCCTCTCTCTGAAATCAATAAAAACATGTATTTTTTAAAAGTTTTTAAAATGCCTGGCACAGTGTAGGCATTCAGTAAATATTTGTAAAATTTATGAATGAAAACTGTATGACTTGGTATATAACTGGCGGATTCCACCATGGCAACATATTAGCCTCAGGGGAGATTGGAAGCCCAGGGCTCACACCACGTACGTACTCCCCCCACCCATGCCCTCGCCTTCCCCCCTCCCCCCGAAAAAGTTGAAATGATGAGGACACAACGATTCAGGCCCAAACTCATGTTATATGTGAATGTGGAAAAGAGCCATATATATTAGGAGGGGATACTGAGGCTGATCACAGGACGAATAATCCAGAGGGCGGACACCAGGCCCAGGGCTCCTTCTGGAGGCTCAGAAATAACAGGATTCCGGGAGGTCTCACAGCATGGAAAGCCCTGGCTGCCTTAGCTGGTCACAGCCAGGGCGGCGGGTGGTCAGGCAGCTGCTGAGGATGCTGTCACAGCCTAAGAGTCAGCATCCTTGCTTGGCCCAGTGGGCAGGAGGGCACCGAGGTCGTCCCCACGGAGAAGGATCCAAGGGGCTGAGGAAAGAGAAAGGCGGAAGCCATCAGAGCCTCCGGGACCCCTGGGTCTCCCCCTCCCGTGTGTGTGTGTGTGTGTGTGTGTGTGTGTGTCTGAGCTACTCTCTCCCCCTCTGAGTGTGTGTGTGTGTGTGTGTGTCTGAGCTACTCTCTCCCCCTCTGAGTGTGTGTGTGTGTGTGTGTGTCTGAGCTACTCTCTCCCCCTCTGAGTGTGTGTGTGTGTGTGTGTGTCTGAGCTACTCTCTCCCCCTCTGAGTGTGTGTGTGTGTGTGTGTGTCTGAGCTACTCTCTCCCCCTCTGAGTGTGTGTGTGTGTGTGTGTGTCTGAGCTACTCTCTCCCCCTCTGAGTGTGTGTGTGTGTGTGTGTGTCTGAGCTACTCTCTCCCCCTCTGAGTGTGTGTGTGTGTGTGTGTGTCTGAGCTACTCTCTCCCCCTCTGAGTGTGTGTGTGTGTGTGTGTGTCTGAGCTACTCTCTCCCCCTCTGAGTGTGTGTGTGTGTGTGTGTGTCTGAGCTACTCTCTCCCCCTCTGAGTGTGTGTGTGTGTGTGTGTGTCTGAGCTACTCTCTCCCCCTCTGAGTGTGTGTGTGTGTGTGTGTGTCTGAGCTACTCTCTCCCCCTCTGAGTGTGTGTGTGTGTGTGTGTGTCTGAGCTACTCTCTCCCCCTCTGAGTGTGTGTGTGTGTGTGTGTGTCTGAGCTACTCTCTCCCCCTCTGAGTGTGTGTGTGTGTGTGTGTGTCTGAGCTACTCTCTCCCCCTCTGAGTGTGTGTGTGTGTGTGTGTGTCTGAGCTACTCTCTCCCCCTCTGAGTGTGTGTGTGTGTGTGTGTGTCTGAGCTACTCTCTCCCCCTCTGAGTGTGTGTGTGTGTGTGTGTGTCTGAGCTACTCTCTCCCCCTCTGAGTGTGTGTGTGTGTGTGTGTGTGTGTGAGTCTGAGCTACTCTCTCCCCCTCTGAGTCTGTTTCCCGCCTCCAGGTCTCCGTCCCCACCTCTCTCTGTCTAGATCTCTGCTCCTATTTTTGGGGGTCTCTCTCTCTCGGAGTCTCCTCTCTCCCTGCCCCCCACCTGGCAGCCCCCTCTTCATCCTCCACCACAGCACAGCTCCGCCTGCAGCCACTGCCATGAGCAGTAAGAAGCCGATGACGATTCCAACCACTGGCACCAAGGACTTGGCTGATGAATCTGCGGCCAGAGAAACACTGTCAGGGTTCAGGGGACCCTCTGCCCCTCTGAGCCAGGGCAGGGGCTGGGAGTGGGTGTGGGCAGAGGAGAGGCCAGCCAGTGCAAGCCCTGGGTCTGGGCAGGACGCCCCCAGGTAAGAACCAGCCATGGCACAGGGGTCTCTGTCACAGGGGGGAGGGCCCTGCAGCCACAGGGCTGGTGTTAGAACTGGGGGGCGGGGGGGTGTGCACAGAGCAGAAGGTCACGCAGGGCAGTGAAGGGTGGGTCTTGTGAGGACTGGCAGCAGCAGGACAGAAGGTGGTCAGACTCCGGGAGGACTGTCCATCGTGGTGAACAGGAGGCCAGCAGCAGCAGCCGGGGGTGGGGGGCCCAGGAGGGTAAAGCCGGCGGCCAGAGGGCGGGCAGATCCGGGAGGAGGGACAGCGGTGGGGCACGAGGCGGGGAGACTCAAGCAGGACCCACAGCCGCGGGTGGGGGGCGATCAGCCTCGGAGGGGTTTGCTACAGAAACGCCAAGGAAAAGGCCATACCCCGCGGGACCTCACCCAGGCCCACGGCCAGG